AAAAAAAAAACACTGTCTCGGTGATAATCGGTACCAGCCAGATGGTCAACGCAAATCCCGTCCCATCTTTGGGAAAGGTAATCAACTCCCAGCCCATACTTATGAATTCTTCATTTGAATTATTAGAAATATTTGTTGCTGACTGAATTTTATGCTTCGAATGACATGTAAACTCGTCATTCGGTAAGATACGTTTCAACCCTCCGGTGTCCTCTAGTTTTCGACAATATAGAAAACTACCTTTTTGAAGATATTACCGTCTTTATTTATTTTCACAAAATTAAGTAAATTTTGTTGTAGATAGCGTTAACAAAAAATCAAATCTCGGTTTATTTTCAATCAAACATGCAACTGAAGATGTTGAAGTTTGATTAAGAAAGCAATTGCTCAATCGTGTCAAATTGGTGTGAAGTCTTTCTTTACTTGCAAACAATTTTGAATATCGTTCTCACATTGTTTTCTAGTGTATCCCTATCTTATTACCTACTATTACTAATTATAATAAGTACAGCCCTTGTAAAATACATACGAAATCTTATCTAATTAGACGTCTACTATTGAATCTTCATCAATGTCTATCAGCAACATCTATGCAGCAGCTACAGATAATAAACATCTTGGTGCTTGTCGCAAGTGATATCTAAATCGTTTGTTGTGATTAGCGTTGAGTGACGCACGAGTGTTACTGCGAAGCGCTCGGGCGGCTGCGGCCGGCGCACGTCCAGTAACGCATAAACTTAGCAGCGGCTTGTTTACGCCGCTCGCTTAATTGGAGCAATCGGCCCCCGACAGAATTAATAAATCCGATCGTCAGCATGCGATAAATCGTGGCGTCGTCCAGCCAACGCAGCGCCCTGCCCACGCGGCGCTTTTACCGTAAAAATCATCTAGATACTTACGCAATTACGTATAGCTAATAAAATTAAATCAAATTTTAATTTACTTAACTGCGAAATAAAATATAAAATAATATATAAGAGCCATATCTAAAATAGTAATTTTACCTATAGAATAATTATGGAATGGTTTATTGGGTTCCCATTTTTTTTACTATCTGCTGCAGGCAACATGTTAACACATATAAACTTTTTAAATAAAAAGTAAAAATATTTTTTTTCTAGCTGTCAATATGTCTTTTATTTATTAAATTCAAAATATTTAAATTAAAGCAAAATACAACTAGAAACACTAAAATTTTTAGTCCTTAATTAAAATATATCTATTAAATAATAATATCAAATAATAATTTTTAATTACGATTTTAAAACTTCACCGTATCTTATTAGTTTAGCTGATCTTTCTGTCCATCGCATTCAATTTCCAATGTGAAAAATTAAACTATTTTCATGAAAATAAATAAGTTAATTTTTTTTTAACATTTCTATAAAAAATTACACTCACTTAAACCGTGTTAGGTTTAGTCTTAGTCAAATATACAAGCATATTTTTAGAAAAATGATTCACAAGCAATTACTTTTTGTAATATATATTTCTAAATCATATTTGGTACGTGTCTGCATACGCGTCTACACAATACTGTATATGTAAATGATAGCATTGTTTTGAATTACCTTTTGTATTTATTTATTAAAAGTGAAACATATTTATTATGTTTAAAGCAGAACAAAATATTGAAATGTTATCACCATTCTTCGTGCGAGTATTCAATTTATGCTATAGTCGCCGCGGGAGCCGGTCTCCTGGGTGCAGAGCAGAGACTTGCCTACTGCTGCTCACACCACGTCACCGCACTGTGCTTATGGTGAAATGGCACGCGAATAATATCGCGGAATATTATTCAGATACAAAGAATACCGTGAGAGCGTCCGACATTATAATAAACGCGACGTTGGTATGCCTTCCGCGTAAAGCTCACCAAAACACATTCCAAACTAGTTTGAGGTAAACGTGATAGCCAATAAAAGCTCGAAAATGGGCAACGGGCGGCTACTGAGTGTCTTTCCCAGGTGCAATAACAGCCTGACATCGTTGGTTCACACAGCCAGGTGCCGGCGAGGGCCTGAGGTCAACTGCGACCGCCACGGGCGCCCGTACACCGTTTTTGTGCGAATAGGCAGTTAGTTAGTTAGCACTTGAGTATTTTATTGTAACACTTCACAGCGTGTAGGTAGATCAATTTGAAATTATTGTTACTACAAATTAAATGTTAAAATTTTAATTTTCCATTAGCACAACTTTATTGAAATTATTTCTATATTGGGAACTATCACACTGCGTGATATCCTATTGTTTTTATTGATTATTACAATTATATTTTAATAACTCTAAAGACCAAAGTGAAATTAATCTAAATTATCTGCTATAAAAGTTCTCAAAATTTAATTTGTTATTAGTCTGGTTCAATTTTTAAAAGCCTTTAAAAATCTTATATTAAATAGTAATGGCGCTATTTTAATAATTTCTCTGATACACTCATTCTTAATGACCTACATTACTTAATGGTTTTTATATTTATAATATATAATAACGAAATAAAGAACATCTCCTGCTATCGTGTAAATATACCAAATATTTGGTTAATTTATAAGATAAAAAAAAATTATATTAGTGAGAGTATAGACTTTTAGATACATACTGTATCAAGTTGTTGCAAAATATTATAAGAGATCGAAAGATGTGATGTTCCCATGAGCGGACAGTTCTCTGAAATATCCACCAAAGTGACGTTAGTTGTGTCTTATCTTACTGGTAGTTTACCAGCAGTATTATTATTAGGTACTTGGCTCACAATAAAGATGTTCATCTTTAAGAAGAAAAAATAAAAAATAAATGTTTCGTAACATGCCGACGTCTCCTCCAAATTTAATTGATATTACATTTAACTACCTATAAAGTATAAAATTAGTCATATGTGGATAGTAAATCAATACTATTACTTTCTTATTTAATTTTGTATTTAATATGAATCAATAATATTTCTTATTTAATAGTTAGTTTACTATTTAGTTCATATTTTATAAGTTTCGAACTTAATCACGCTTAAACGATTGAATAGATTTGAATTACGTAAATTTGACACCTGCATAATAATTTATCTAGATATAAAATTTAATTATTACCTGAGGTAGACCCAGGATAACAGATAGTTATTTATTTATCTGTATTCACATAAGTTAATACTATAGAACAAAAACACTCCGCGGCTGGTTATTTCTTACCTTACTTTTTCTAAACAATACTACAGATTTTAATACTGATTTAAATGCCATTTTAATATTTTTACAGCAGATTTATATTTATTTACAATACATCCAAATTTGCACTCATATTATCCAAACTGGGACCACTCAATAAATAATGAGTAAAATTATAACGTCGCCATTTTATACAGAATATTTTTTGTAAAGTTTGACATTAGTATACTCAGTGGAAACAAAATTATAAGATACATACTCTATTAGAAAGGGAGATTAAAATTTTATAACGGCTTTCATCGAAGTGTCTTTAGAAAAAGTGTTATGACGCACAGAATATCCCTTCATTAGAATTTCTATGATGTTAATTTTACCCAATAGATCACTATCATCTTAGATATCCAAACATCTTTAATTGAAATAATAAGACAAAGTTAACGAAATTAAGCAGGCAGGACACAAAATTAATTGGATAGACTTTTATAAATGTATTAGTTTGAGTGGTTTATTTTTAATCTGTTAACTGCTTTGTATAAAACAATAACTAACTCTATACATAAAAGAATCCCTAACTCTATAATCGCATGTGTATATACGTATGAGTATATTGCAATGCTTGAACTCAGTAATTGATTTATTCGTATAATGATCGCCTTTCCCAAGCGCGGTGCGATGATAAAGGTGTGGCTCGCCAGACTAGGGAGTTGTTATCGCGAGCCTATTTCCGGCCGTCACTGGTCTGTCGCGCGAGCAGTACGCGATCATCGCCCGATACATTTGTCGGCAAACACCATCACACCGCAACAGCCTGCATTTGCGCATACATCGATCGATATCTCCAGAGCCACAACGGTCGCTGCAATTGCGTACCGATAATCTAATGAACTCTATACCGCCACGTTTTCTGATTTCACAATTAGCTGAAGGAGATCCCAAAATTCAGGGTGGTGTTTTTGTCACATTTCGTGAACGTGTAGATTCGTATCCTCGTGTAGATAAGGAGATTTTAGTTTGAACGCGGCGTTATGCAAAGTAACGTTTCTATTTATCCTATCTGAGCTAGATCTATCTCGGCGTGTCGCAATCGTAACACGGCAAGATCGGCGAAGCACAAAGGAACCGAGAGATGTACGGTCAGCGTAATGGCCGCCACGTCACACAGCCCTATGAGCCAGTGCGGTGCAGCCACGGCCGCGATGCATATCTACGTACTGACTCTGTAAATGGGCCGTTTTGGGTATCTAGTTGCTAATGAAGGCCGAGACTACACGGCAAAACTGGATTGTGAATTCATAGATATATGACAACCGTAATAGTCGTTGTGACTATGCTGTTAGCCAAGTTGCTTTATGGCAGTAAACGAATAAACGTAACCCTATTATCTTGTAGTGTTATGTGACAACTCAAAAGATTTGATGAAGCCACACTACAACCATATCTACTGGTCTTGTACACTCTATTGTTGTTAGCACACCAGTTTGGGTCATATGATTATGCAATAATTTTGTACATTTAGGTGGGTACATTATATACCGCACATATTTTCTTTTTCGAATTTCCAAGAAAATTTTATAATACTCTTAGATTATATAGATGGAGTGTCTACAATTGCTTCACCAAAAACAAGTCAATTTTTTTTATCTATGTATCCGTAAATCGAGATACCAAAATTTTTTTATCAAATTACTTGTAAGACTGAAAAATTATTATTTATAAGACAAAGTTATATTTAGCTAACAAAATTTTAACCTGTTTTTAAAATTTGATGCTCTGTCTATATAATACTAGGACAACATAGTTTGCAAGTATAATATAGCTAATAGATGCGCATAGTTTGTGACTTACCTGTTCATGTTTTTTGAGATATGAAGATCTAGGAAAAGCTTTTTCACAGAACTGGCACTGATAGGGTGTGTGCTCTGTGACGCCAAGGGTGAAGGGCGGCTCCACGTCGGCGTCGACGCCATCAGCAGCGTCGGCCGAGGTAGGCGTCGAGACGGGCGACGGTGACGGCTCCGGCGTCGACGACGGCCACGAGCTGCCCGCCGTACTGCCCACACTACCCAGCGCCTCTAAAGGAAACAAATAAGAATAAATGATATTCTTTGTGTTATCGAACACAGTGTACTTACAAGGTAAAAATGGAATTATTAGCAATATTTTAAAAGAATGTCTTAAATAGGAACGGTATAGAGACACTCACTCGCGAATCAGAAAACAAGAGAAAAAAATTAGAGCATTCTTTACTGCATGCATTTTTTTGACGTTACATTTTTTTTTTGGTTTAAGAAAAGTAAGAAATCCGTCCTATTATCGGGATACAAAACACAAAGACTTGATTGCTGGCCGCGCTATGTTACGGGTAGTATAGAAGACTTGTCTAATTAATTTTCTTTTATCTAAATCACGATTTTTTTGGAAAAAATAATTAGTTTCACTATTAGAACGCTTAAATGGGAAGTCCAACACGTTATACGTTAAATGCAGTCGTACACTAATAGAGTTTTTACGCTAATAAGAAAACCACTTATAAAACTAGATATTAATAAGGTAAGATACCTCGCGCAGAGCGATTTTATTATAACCTTTATAGAAATAACCAGTAAACCGAATTTACTATGTGTAATGTGCATGTACAGTACAGTATGTTTGCAATTTTGAATTAAATCGAAACCTATCTACTTATATTATAAATGGATATTATTACACTCATTTTGTGTATATAAAATACAAATTCAACAATATATAGTAGCAATATCCTGGCAGTAGAGTAGACCTACGATGTAGTATTATTGGTGTTCAAATAATAAAGAGCTACGATAGGGCTTTACAATGAGTGTAAAATACATTATAGTAGGCGCACAGACTCGCTGCTGAGATACAACCATAATAAATATCGGTAAAGCTCCATATTTCGGTGTTAGGGGCGGTATATCAGCGAGAGCACCTCGGAGTGGCGTGAAATATAAACAAATTGAATGGGCCGCGATGACGAGCGTCAGTGCAAATGATGAGTAATGTAGGAGCGCGGGAGAACCGCCAACCATCTTCTGTGCTCGGTGAGATGGACTTTCCGCGGTGGATTTAATATATTACCCGCCGTAAGTATTATCGCACTTCGTAAATTCTAATCAGAATTTCATTGAATGCTCATCGTTTCAAACGTGGATATTAAAATGTTTAATTCATGGGAATTAAAAATATAATAAAAGTCAATATTTTTTACAGAAATAAGTATTAAGTGTTATTGAAATTTTATTAATATAGTTTTATAATAAAGCACGGACTGTACACGTAATGCAACATTATCCTCGGATCGCAATGGCACCGATCGACAGTAATATAAAATAAGTATCTACGAAATAGGATACATATTATAAGGTTCAGTAGGTATATTTAATTATACAGAAAACTTTTTTTTATACAACTTAGAATGGCAAACAAGCTGTCGGCCCACCTGATGAAAAGTGGTAACCGTCGCCTATATAGGTACATGAGCAGTACCATGGACATAACAGAGAAATAACTGTTTCACTCATGATACTCTCCATGCGTTGCCATTCCTGAGAACTTCCTCAGGTGTTATTCCTCTGTACTCTGTAAATTCACGCCATATCCCACCCTTCAAGCCGAAACACAGCCATGCAAACACAACTGCTTTACAGTTGAAACACGAATGGAACCGAGGTCCCCAAACAAACGATTTGTACAAAGTCTCCCTTAATATAGTAATACTAATTAATAGTATTTTCCTGTGCTGTAATTGTTTTCCTTTTAGCTACTTTCTTTATGTTGTATGTAAAATGTTCTACCCTTACAGCTAAAGTTCTATTTATCCATATCTAACTAGGACAGGGAGAAGCTAAGAGATTGTTAGTGACAAGCTTATTATTACTAACAATATACCCTATCAGGTCGACGCCCACTCGATCCTCCCTGGAAATCATTATAGTAAATTTCTGATGAATTCGTCATAAGCGAACTGGCCTTTTTTCATCTTCACCTATCATCACTCACTGGTACCCTACCCCTTCAGTGTGTAGATAGCGTTAAAACCTAGGTTACGCTATCAGTACACGCTCAAGGGGACCATAACTATGGCCCAGATGCAGACTCGTGATGTCTGCATCTTAACGAATGTTTTTTTCTTGAATAGCTAGTGGATTGAAAAATGTAAAAAAGATATTTAGAAGAGTAAATATATGTAAGTATTTAATGAATTAATATCTATATGCTAAAAGCAAGATCTTAGAATAGCAAGCCTTTAATCAATTTTATTCATTTTAAAGTAAAAATAGTAAGATTACAAGTTAATATTCATTTTGTTGGTATTTTTTACGGAGCAAAATCTATTTTGTTTAAGAGGAACTATTTATTTCAATCTGACTCCCTGCTCGCCCGGACGCATGTAACGACTTCACGCTAATGGCTAAAATAATGACAAGTCAATTTAGTTAACTTAAGATTTTTTATGTAGGATACTGTACGTATGTGGGAAATTTATTCTGTAGATTTACAAAAACTTTATTTTAAAGTTAAATTACTATGAATGCCGCTACACTAATAAAAATATTGAAAACAAAAATATTTTTTAAATATATAAATTATATTGTGCTAATTACGTATAACAAGAAAAGATCTTGTCTTAAAAAGATTACTTTCAGCAATAAGACCGCCTTACTGTACTTATATAAGTGTATCGTTACATTTATTAATTGTCTTGCTTATCTCCTATATTGTATAATACATTTGTATTAAAGGATTAATTTATTCATTATTTCATTTTTTATTTTATTTTATTATTTCGTTTATTCATTCAAGACTGAAAAATATTTCTTAAAATAATGAAAATAAATTTTAGAACTCTTTACAGTTTATCAGCGTAAATAGCGCCTTAAGTAAGTTGTTTTCAAATTTAAAGCCGTTATAAAATGCTAGTCAAAAAATACCTGAATTTTCAAGTACCTCTAGCTGATTTCAAAAAGTTGAATGCAGCATTGCTAATAAATAAATCAACAGATAAAGCAACATTTCTTGAACATTACAGTAATTCTCACAATTTGAGGTTAAATAAACGTAATTTTGTCGATTTAATGTGTGATTTTTGAGAAGTTAATCTTACCGCAAATCAAGTAAGAACACTTACCTACTTCTTATGTTTTCGCACTTTACAGTTAAATTAGAAATTTAAATTATCGCTAAAGTGTTATAAATTAAAACGTATACTTAAAATCATCTTCAGTATTCAAATGAAATTAACGCTAACGTTATAGAAGAGATTCTTTTTGCGTTAACAATCGTTTCAAATTCTTCTACGTCGACAGTTTCTAAAGTTCCTATTATCAGAATGCGATTTAAACTTAATGGAACAATATTTGTAACTTTTATTTCAATAATATTAGAAATTTTCTTTTTACTATCAGGAAATTCTATTAAAGTAATGGTTTCTCAATTAAAATGACAAGGTCTCTTATCTTCTTTTGCAAGTTCTATTTCTTTTAGAGATAGAATAGCGTCAGGGCAATTTTATATTTGTAAGGCTGCCACTCTATACAACCGTCGCTCAATTGTCCTGTAGCTATTGTAGGTTCTTCGGCCAAAAGTACTAACTCCTACGGACACTTCTTTTACCAATAATCTTGCTTTGAATGATCAATTGAGTATTTTGTACTTAAGTCTACGCTTTTTGCTCCTCGTGACGTGAACGAAGTGCGTCATTTTCCTATGCTTACTTTTGTTCATAATTTTTAATTTTTCACAATTTTTCTTCTTCTAGTGATTTCTATTTTTTTTTAATAATACTAATAATGATCCAATTAAAAATTAATATTATCTAATTTATATATTTATTTATTTACAATAAGTAGGCACTTTAGTGTTATTAATTCGGACATGACAGGAGACTTTTAAATAAGACAAATTGTTTACATCTCAAATCGTATGTTATATGAAAGTCCTGTCTGCTGCGTGTCTGCGTGCCTGCCTGTGCCTGTATGCTATATAGTAGCATAGATCAGACCTAGCAGCATAATATACAAAGTTTTAAAGTAAAACTTATATCGCTATTACACAGAACTTTACTCATTTTGAAGAAAGTTGAATGAGGCAGTCGAAGCGTTAATTGAAACAAGATTATAATTTTGTACTTGGTAGAAAGATTTTGTAAGTATTATACATCTGTAATACATAATTTTTCTGCTATATGAAAATAGAATTGAAACCCCGTCTAATCTATTTATTTACAGTAGCTGAGTATCAATGAAGGATGAAAACAAATCAATGGTGAACTGGTGACGAATTCATCAAAAATTAACCACTACACTTTGCGTAGAGATCGCCTGGCTTGCAATACTCATATACATATATATAGCAAGGAGCTAATAGTTCACATCATTCACCATAAAGTCTACCTAGCCATTTCAGTGAGACCGAGTATCAAACTAAATATCTACACTTTTTATACATACTACATATTAAACTTTGGAAATATTTATTACTTAATCTAGCTTAAACGACTACATTGATTTGAATTAAATTTAATGCAAAGATGCACTACAGTTTAGTTTATAAATAAATTAAAATGATGCAACTTTATAGGGACTTTTTTATATAAAATGAGTACTTTTTATAGTATCAAAGAGTTAGAACTCACATAGGCGAAGTCGCTAGATATAGCTAGTAAAATATTAAAGCGTCACGAGTATTCTTCTGCCCTTGAATAATAAGTGTCATATCAGTTGCAAGTGGTAGTTAGATGTGGCGGTGGTGGTCTGGTAGGATACGGTAATTATCAGCGATTGCAGGCAATTCCTCGGGTGATGGTGGCGCCGCCAGCCGGCGGTGGTGGGCGGCGGAAGCGCACTTCCTAATTGCGCCTGCGCTGTCTGGGACACCTCGACCGGCGCCTCGGCAATCAACACCAATCACTACTAGAAAACCGCCCATAGGTATAGCAACTATCGTAGACTGCATAGTGTAATTGGTTAATAATGTTATTTACATTATATATTATATTTATATTAAATTAACATAATACTATTCTAATGCTAAAAAATATCTAGGTCATCTTCATTATGAAAAGTTAATCTATACTTATAATAAATCTGTAGAGAGATCAATTCTGTACATGAAATATATTTCCAAAATAACTATCAGGGGGTGATTAGTGATCGATACTGATGCCAAAAATGCAATCAGTAAAATTTTTGTCTGTCTGTCTGTATGTTCGTTATAGAAACAAAAACTACTCGACGGATTTTAACGAAACTTGATACAATTATTCTTCATACTCCTAGGCAGGTTATTGTATACTTTTCATCACGCTACGATCAATAAGAGCAGAGCAGTGAAGGGAATTGTTGGGAAAATGGGAGAAGTTACTCCATTTTTAGGCTTCCGTCGCGTGTGCAGCCTTAATGGCCACTTTTTAAAATGTAAAAATGTCCACCCGTGCGAAGCCGGAACGGGCCGCTAGTATAGAATAAAAACCATTTTCGGTAGTTATTCATTTTAAATCCCTTCAAATCTAATCTACTAACTCAATAGCTGAATGCGCTATATTATACACAGAAGTCTTAAAAATTTTTGTCCTTTTTCAACCCATATGTTTTAGTAAAAATATTTAGTTTTATTGGTACAAAAACTCCCTTCAAAGAATGATAACCATTTCGATTTCATTAAAAAAAATAACCCGCTATAACTTGCACATATAGTAGGTAAGTAGTACTACAGTTCGTCTACAGGTAGACGAGTATGCACTATATCTATACTGTAACATGATGTCCGTTATATTTATAATGACAGTGCATTGACATTGACGTAGGTAAATCATAACAAGTTTTATTAAAACATAACTAGAATACAGTCAATTCTGTATACGAATCCTGCACCAAAAACAAATTTTAAGGCATGTTATTAAATTCAAACACACTGTACACAATCTTTACTTTACACTGTTTATTACATAGATTTCTAAAGATGTTTGAATATTTAGATGTGGAATATTTGTTATTAATTGATACTTTAATGACTGACTGGATTTTAATAAAAATTAGTGAATAAATAAAACGGAAATCTCAGAATAATAAACGTTACTTTTAATCTGAATCTAACTTCACTACAGTTAGTATTTTCGTAATGGTACAAAGTAAATACAATTTCTACAACTCAACACAGATATTTTTTATACAATTAATATATTTTCCACTATGACGATAATATTGCACAAATTCATAATTATTTAAGAATAATAGGAAACTCTTTATTGTGATCCTTAAAGAATGATACAGTCACATAACAATGTATGCACAAAAAAAACACAATTACAAGAATTTCGAGCTAATAAAACAACGAATATACCATATTCACTAGATAACATGTCCCCAGTAATCAAAAATAGTTATTACTGAAAATATTATTATTAATATACATAAGTAATTTCAATTTTAACATGTATAAAGAATATTTTATGTATATACACAATCATAATACACAACCACAATAGTTAAAGGATAAACCATCTAGGAAATATTTGAGAGATGAAGATAGTACTAACTGAACTACAAGGTTAAATCACTAAAAACTCACTCGAAAGCTCATTAAATCTTACTGCTGTTACATAGAAATATTTAAGATATCAAACGAACTGTCCCAACAATACTAATACTATATCAGCCAGTTAACTGTCCACTACTGAACATAGGCCTCACCCATAAGGGGGGTTTTGCCAGTAGTTGCCACGCTTGGCAGGCGCATTGATAACCGTAATTAGGCTTTGGTGATGTTTTAATAGGGACTCTACTGCCGTCGACCATTATGTTCTCTTATTCGCCTCTTACGACTCCCACGTGAAAAAAGGGGTGGCCCATTCTATGTCGGGACCACACAGTTACAACAATACGAATAATCTGAAAATAGACATTTAGTCCTGACATAAGAATAACAAAATAATGTGTAAAATTTTAAATATTACAATAAACATTGGCAAATTTACACAGTTGCCTCCAGTAGGCTATTAAAATTTTGTGCCTCTACAAACTTCTACAGTTAGGTACCCTAGTTTGCAATCATATTTATTACAGAACGGTAGACTGTGATGAAGTAATAAATGATTTAAACATAGATTATTTTATAACATCAAGAAAATTATTGTTCAGAGACCGAGAAAACGAAAACAATGTCAAAAGATATAAATGAAAATAATAAAATTTAAACATTCTAAAAGTAAATCTACAAAAAGACATGTAAAGGAGTTTGCATTGGCTGATCATTGACAATATTAATTACAATCTTTTTTGTCAATGAAATTATAGCTTTTCGCCTAAAATTTGCAACCCTAGGTTCCAGCCTACGTACTCTGCTAGCAAATCTACCAAAATCCGCCATTAATAATAATCAGTCTTATTCTTGACATTTTTTAGGCGAGCAATTAAAACAATTGTGTATTACAGTACTCGCTGAAAACTACGAGTATCTATCTTGTAAACCTTTACAAATGTATAATAACAAAATAATGAAAAAACATTTTTTATTTTATTTATGACTCTTTAAAGACAATCATGACAATCTTAAATACATATTTATGTTCATATTAACGGAAAGTTTCGCACCTTTATAAGCATGGAATTTACAATTATATTTTCTTTCATTTCATTTTCACACCATTGTATCGTTCAACATTCAGCATAATGTGAGGAACCCTGTCACTGTAACTATTAAAAATAACAGGTGCCAGGTATTTTTCATTGTGCTTTAAATTGACTTAAAATCTTATTAAAATTAGAATGAAAGAAGTATATTAGAATCCGAGTATCTAATATAAAATATCTAGGATCAGAATATTTGTCTTTAAATCATGGACTACCTACATGTCGCAATTTCCACCGAACGTTAACTCCTGTTGTCAAAAAAATTTCAGATTTTCTCTCTAAACCTCTCTCTTTTAGACAAAACAGTAGATGTATTATAATTTCAAATGCCAAATAAATCAGTAATGTGAAACATTGTGCTGAGCTGTCTATGGTACATGGGTACTTACTATTGTCGCACCTTTTAATTATGCAGCCAAGCAGCTTGCTTGCATGTTGAAGGGTCAGACATGGCAGTGAAATTACTGGATATATCTATAATTTCTGATATTACAAGCATTCATGTGATGTAATGCGTTTACATCAAGTGAATCATATGCTTAATTACTACCTTTATTGTACAAAAAGACGCACCTATATCTGGTTAATTAAAAAAGCTGAACATTGACTGACTGACACCACTATAAAAACATAATAACCCATTAATGCCTCACTATACTGGGCATTAGTCATTCCCCTTTAGAAGAGGATATCAGCCTACTCAGATCAGGTACCCTTATTACCAAGCAGCTTGGTATAGAGTTTGATTTTGAATTTTACTGCTCTTGTGCTGTTGTATGACATTTTGTCCCTTAAGTCGCAATTTACAACATTCTGCAACTAAAATCATCTGATCCCACACTAATAGACATTATTAATACACCTACAAAAGCTATTGAACAGGAATAGAATGTATCAAAGAACCTTTAATTTTTATAAGTATATTTTATATACACAACAAGAACACTATTTTACCTCAGACAAATAAGTATAATCAGTAAAATCTATTGGTAAGATAGAGACTCTAAGTCGGACACAGGAAGTTAGTAAGGATTAATTGAGATCTCTGTGAAAAAATAAAGTACTTGGCATCATATGAAGAGAGATTGATCCTACCTATAGTCCCACTATAGGTTTCTATATCCAGATTCTGATATTCAAAGACAACGATCATCAGGACAAGAAATGCGCTAAATTCAATTGACCCCTAAAAAATACTTACAAATTCAGAATGCATTGATCCTTTTATTAAAATTTTAAATTTACATATCAAAAGTCTAGGCAAATATTCACACAATATAGGGGGAAAAAATTTAATGGTAAATTTAATTTAATCTAGATTTTATGTAGCTACGATACCTAATCTTGTTTTCGAAAATACCCGTATTACCTATATTAAACTAGCCCTTGGCGACCCGCGACTTCGATTTGCATAGAAAATAAGGATTTGACCATTCCTTATAAGGTTTTCATCGAAAACAAAACACAATCTTTTGTATACGTAATAATAGAGTTGATTTATTACATTACACTGACCTTTTATATCGTCTGAAATGCCGTCGTGATTTTCTTTATTCGCCTGAATTTTCTCTATGAGGTGCTCCAACCTGCTGCTGTTGCCCTTGAATAACATGATCATATCGTCAGGCAGGTCCCGAGAGAGCGCGACCACAGTCCGCTCGCGCCACACCCGACTCCGTCACTGTGACAGTTCCGCGGCGCCCGCAGATTGCCGCAGGTGCATTGGTTCCAGTTTATTTTGGAGTTTTTTGCGGGCTCACTTATCGCGAGTGCGAATTAATGCGCAGCGCGTGTCCGACAGGTGCCACTAATTGATGGGGTGCCCGTTGCGGGCAGCCCTGTATGAGCTTCCTTCACGGCAATTATTTGGGTGCCTGCTGCCTGACGATCGACTTAATTAACGACGCGCATTTTTATTTTCCACGTACAGGTGATTGTAGTATTTTAAACTAAAATGTAAAAGAACTTAAATCGACTAAGACTTCTTATTGTGTCGTGAGCTTAGACGTGGAATTACGCAACAGTGCGGGCGTCAAGATCGGCGTGTGCGGCGCGACTGTGAGCTCCAATGGACCGATGGAGCAGTGGGCGAGTCGCGGCGCCCGGCCTGCCAGCACCTCGGCCCTCGCAGCACCCTGCGCCCCGCCTGTCCGCCCCGCCCACACGACCTCCTCTAGGCACTTGCACCCACACCTCCTTGAAAGCCTTTTAACATCTTTAATATATTTCGTCTACACAATAGAGACTTTTTAATCGTAACTTTTGTGGGCATCAATCAAAATAGAGGTAAGTATCATTCTAAAAATTTTTTTCCGTAACGTTGTAATAAGCCTTCAAGTGTCGTTCATACTCAATGCATTGACATGCAGTTAAAAATATGCTGCCATATGTTTTGATAACATACCTGAGATATCGCTTGTTGTTGTTAAGTTGGGGATAGAGAATTAATTTGTTAATCCTTATGATATCCAACGAATATAATATAATTCTCTTTTCACAACACTTTCACGCCTAACGACTAGAACAATTATTTGAATAAAAATTTACAAAAATAAACAAAAAACTCATGCCAATGCTTTAGATTTATTTCTAATGTTTGTTATCCTTAGGGGGGAAGGGATCGTTAGTATTGCGGGCTACCAGTCCCATTGCTAGCAATATACCCTGTCAGCTCGACCTCCACGCGGTTCCCCCTGAAAACCATCGTACTGAGTTCCATGTGTATTCATCACGATGGGCTGACTGACCTGCCTTTTTTCATTATTCACCTATCACCCCTCACTGGTGCCCCGCCAGCGTATACCGTTAGCGCAGGCGGGGTTACCATTCCATTAATCATCCATTAAGAAAAAAAATGTTTGTTATCCGAAGCGAGAGCACGAATAACATCGATAGTTCATAGCATTCTTATATACAATTTATAGAATTCTTACTGAAACTACTAAGTATTAAATTTACATACAAAAAGTAAGAATGACGTTCTTTTATTTGGTACCTATTAAATATGAGTTCAAGTAACTGTATTCTCCAGAGCACAATGACATAATCCATCGTCAAATTATGTGACGGGCTCACGAGCGTACCCATTTGAAAATCGAATACGAAACATACGAGAATACGAATAATCAAACGAATGACAAGAGGATGACACTAAAAGCTTTTCAAAATTGGAACGCAGCTTGTGTAGAGGAAAACTGACTGCAGGTTTTCCTCGTTCCACCCACGGCGTGGGCGCGGCCAATGGGCGCCGTCGTTCCGCACTCCCCGCGCTCCGCTACGGTACACTAAACTTAGCACACTACAGACTATTCGGTCTTGACTTTTTGTCTCTACTTTTCATTGTTTGATTTTTAGTATAATAGTTTTATAGTTAATGCAGTCTCTTGTTTATTTCTTATAGTTTGGCACGATGTTGGCATAATATATCTAATAACAATTTTTAAAATATTGCTTACAATATTTCTAACAACTTTTGCTGCATATACTTTCAGTGACACGTTTCTAACATTGTGGTAGGTTCTATATTTTGTGCAAAGGATATTTACACAACATATATTTGCATAGTGAACACAGGATACGTACTCCTAATTAGGTAATTAGGTACCTTGCATAAATAATACATGTTCGTACGTTATAGACACGTTATCGTATGAAAATCGACAAAGTAGGAAGGTTGTCGATTTTTCATTCTTAAAAACTCATATATTAAACACACACAATGATAAAATATTGACTCTAGCAGCACTACATTTAACCTAATAACTAAGTCATCATAGTTAATCCATTCATACATTTGATATAACACAAATTTTGCTCTATTACTGGATTTTATTTAAAATAGTAAATATGCTCACGCCTATAACAGTAATCAGAGGCATTTGTTAACTGGGGAACAAAATATTCAACATACCCACATTATGCCGAGCATAATAAACTCCAACGTGACAGAAAATGAGTCTATAGTCGTCACTCGAATTAATTCAGTTTTTAGTGGTGTTTTCCATCACCAGAGAGTTCATTGAAAAATTGACGCAAAAAGTTTTTAATATTGATCGATTTAGAATTCTGAAATTTAGGGTCAGTAAGTCGAGACCTATGTATTATGATTATACCTAGTACAACGGTCTAATATTTTCTACAAGATTATAGTTTCAGATAATATATCGTTTCACAATACTAGTCAGCTATGTGCTGGTCACCCGCTGACCAGCGATCGCTCCTCAGGGACCTATAGAAGCGGCGCGCGGTGTTGCCTTTTAGTTGTGCATATATTACGAGGATTACATGTGACACCAACTGCTGTAATTTTGTAGATAAACTCGAGAAATATTTGCGTTTAAGTGTACCTTCGAGATTTGTTTTTGCGAAACTTCTAGGTTCATAGGCTTTTATGGGAAATCCTATCAAATATTTTTATGGCTCCTTCTTCAAAAAATAGTGTTGGATGAAGTTAACTTCCCTATAAAATATCAACTTGAATCGTAATGATACAGTTTATACTGTGTCTGAGACTTAACCACATAGACCATATTGTGATACAGTTTAAGAAATTGATTGTACAATTTGAACGGAAAGACTTATTTATTTATTTAACTCTTTATTGCACCATAAATAAAAATATACAACTTTTCCATAAAATGTCGCGTGAGAATTGAGTATCTATATTATTAGAATAATATGTTACATATGGCAAACCGTATTAAAATCAATCAAAAAATTGACAATGAAAATATTTTCATAAAACGCATAATTATTATATATGCGTTGTTGACAACTTTTTGATAGATAAGTATTTTGTAATTATTCCTCTTTCAAGTACTCACAAAGAAGATTTTAGACTTTGTTTTGCTCCTGCTTAATACGACGCAATACCGTTGCTAAATACTGAGAGATTCGCATAAACGTATTAAATAACAATTTCATTTGTTAACAGTTGGTGTATGGCAAGTCAAACGAAGCGAGCGTACCTACAGCAGCTAACAAATTAATGAACATTAAATATTCAAAACATTCACGGAGACGGGACAGGATTGACACGGAGTTGTCGGGCGCCAGCCGCCAGCACTGCTGGATACAAAAGGGTTGATATTAATACTTAAGCGGCCGCACCTCATCCTGACATGGCCGATTAGGCTGTCACTGAGCCAAATCTCCAGCTCTGAATAAAGTATTATGAAAAAGTGCTCCTTATCTCGGGAGCCAGGGTCGCTACCGCGATCTACTCTGATGAGGGTTTGAAACGTAGATGCTCACTTAGTTGTTAGCTTCTTTGCGCAACGCACACATGGGGATGTACTCGTATCTTGGATTTGAAAATTCAAACTGTAAATGTAAATGACATTTGTTTTATTATATTAGATAAGTTTTTCAGACGGTCAAAATTAAAAATACTTGTATCTAGAAACTCCTATAAATGCAAGTATTTATCCGGCGTAATTGGTGATTTTTAGTTTACTGATGGGGCAAGAAGACAGTCATGTAAATTCACTAATGGTTTACATATTTTTTTTACAGTTAATAATATTTATAGCCTATGGAATATGACAGTGAATTTACAGGGTGCAGAGGAATAACATCTTAGTCTTCAGGAATGACAAAGCATGTGGGGTATCATGGGTGAAACGGTATACTCTGTTATGTCCATGGTACTGCCCATGTCTATAGGTGACGGTTACCACTTTCCATCAGGTGGACCGTCAGCTTGTTTGCTACTCTAAGTTGCATAAAAAATATATATTTTACCTATTAAATCAAGGTACAATTTTGAGTTTCAGTTTAAAAAAATCTTATAATTCTATACTATAACACACTTAGTAAAAAATTTTGATGGCTTTATTGCAATGCAACTAGTTAGAACTACTTTGCAACAATTGAATATTTTTATATCGTTCCTCTATCTATATATAGACAGATACATAAATATAAAATGTTAATAGCATCGTTTAATTATGTGTATAAACTTACAAAACCCGCAAAAAATCAATACATAATATCTAGAGTAAATATTTCGCAATACTTAAGGAAAGTGCGAATGATGCCCAAAGTGTCGCGGACACTTAAAGTGCTGAGACGCCTGAGGCTTGCATATTTCATGAGGCGAACTGACATGCCCGGCCTTCGGCAGACATTCCATTTCCGAATAAAGACGTTAATGTTCAATCCTTGATTTGGACGTTACGTTGCTTAGTGAGATTCACCCGATACCGCGTCATTAAACTTTCATTGTTAGTTTATTCATTGTCTTATAACACTTTCGTTGTAGCCTATTTGTTACGTAGCGTCACAGCGTGCGACTCGACAGAATTCACCGTTATGTGTTATACTATTTTTATAATAGAGTGCGCAACTAATAGTAGCGTCGTGATTATACGACAAGTAAATAAATAGTTTCATTATACTAAATCAGCAATATTTACAAATTTCGGGGGGAAATTAGAAGCACAATGGATATGTGCTTGTACCATAAATCATTTATAAAAACAATCTGTACCAGTCTAACTCTAGATAAAGAGAAGTAATTAAAATTTGTCAATGTTTCTACATTACTTGATTCGGTCGAAAAATTATTAATACCTACATAATAAGTGTATATCATAATTTAAAATATTTGGTAATTATTTCTCTCAACCATAAAATCTGTAAAGTTTTTTAAATACCTAGATATAAAAATAAGAAATTAATTTACGTAATCTCAATTTATATATGTTAAGAGAATTAAATATATTTGTATTTATTGGAATCCTTCTTTCACTTCCTTCTAGTTATCGCAATAGGTAAACTTTTTCAGAATACTTATTCTTCTTTTGGATTCATCTTTCTTAATAATAAATAAGGTATTTGAATAGATTTTGTATAATATTAGAATGTAATAAATTGATTTCTTTAATTTGTCTCAGATTACAAAACTAAAGAATATCTGTATGATATTCATCATTTAAATACTCAGATGTCAGTCTTTATTAAAAATTGGTATTCGACTATAAGTTACCTGAATAAAAAGTTTTTGTTCTCATAATTTTAAATACAATATCCATGTCACCCTTACACC